TAATTATTTGTTAACGGGTTTTTACCCATATATTTAGTGGCTACATTCATGTACTTCTGGACATTGATGATGGAATATGGATTCCGAAAACGTTATGTCTAACTTAGCCTGTTTGGGTTTTTAAATATATACCTTTTACAAAGGATTTTTAATAATTTTTTTTTAATATATGGTATAGAGCCAACTACAGGAACGTAGATTCCTTAAGGATTTTTAATTTTCTTTTGTTGCCTGGAGTAATTACGTTAAATTATTATTATTATTATTTTTAAAGATAACGTATCTCTAATATTTTTTATCACATATGTGGCATATGTGGCGCCCTCTATCAGCTACATTAAAGTGTGCATCATATTAAAATTTTTAATATTCAGTGGAACCCAGTTATTAATTTTTATACATAAATTTTAAACATAAACATACATTTTAAACATAAAAGTTAGAGCGAAAATTAAAATTTTAAATTTCTACTTTAACACCCTGTATCGTTCTTAATATCAACATTTTATTAAAGCAATTTGGCTTAAATCGTAATATTTTAAAGTGTAGAATCTACGTTTTCTTTTTGTCAAATATACTTAAGGACCATCCTGTATATTTAGAAACTCCCTTAGCCAATTTTGTAGCTTTTTAAGTGACCCTCAAGACCCCTACTGCAAAAATGTATTTTTAGAAAAAAAGTATATACATTAATGCTTAAAAGCACTTTCTCATATACTATAAGCATATGTATGTATATTTCTCATAGCTCATAAGCAAGTTACATACTTAGATAATTTTTGGCAAACTGATTAATAATTTTTTTTTTGTGTATTTTTCTTCGATTTGTTGAATAGCTGAGTTAGATTTTTCTTTTTCGCTCCGGAAAATTGTTAAAATTAGAAAAAACTTGTTTTGATATTTTTCCCTTATCTGTCTTAAGCACATAACTTCATTTAAATGTGATAAATAAGATTTTTTCTTTATTTATTAATTCTGTGAAAATTATTGAAATATTTTCATGCCCAAAAACACTTTGATTTTTTTCAGATTGTATATATCAAAATTGAGCACAGCAAAAATATCTTAATTTTTCCAATAAATTTTAGGTTATGTAGGTAATTTAAGGCAAACTTCTAAATAATCATTTGTCGTGCATTTTTTCCGTTCGTTTTTCGAAAACCCATGTTTTTTGGTGTTTGTTCATAATTTTAGCACATAATCTCATCTATAAAATATAAAAAAAACCATCAAATAAATTAGGTTTGTCATTTTTATACCAGAACATGCTCAAAATACGAAAACCCTATTTTTTTATATGTTTTCCAATGTTTTTAGCACATAATCTCAGCTGCATGTGAATGATAAACGATTTTTTATTTATTTTTTCCGTTTCTTCTAATAGCTTATATATTAGCCATTTCCACACTAAAACATACTCTAAAATTGAAAAAAACTGCATTTTTCGTTGATTTTAAGGACATAACCTCATTTAAATGTGACTACAATAACGATTTTTTTTCCCCCACCCCACTGTTTATTCGAGTCCTGATTATTTCTTATTAATAATATTAAAACATTATAAAATTACAAAATACTAAAAAATATTTAAAATCACATTGTAATAATAGTTTTAGTCTTCGTCACTATCTTCGTTTATATGACGTGATTAATAAGTCTCAAAGTATTTTTGATGATCCAATAATTTTTTAGTTACATCGTGCATTGCTAGGATAATAAATAATTGCGAAAATATGTCAAGGGGACCCTACAGTTTTGATCCATTAACACAGTCACAATCATAGCGCAAAAAATGGCCATACACGAATTATATTTTTGTAGTCGACATAACATTTGTAGTTCTTACTATGTATTTGTCTTAACTGAATTAAAACTTTAATGGTAATAATAAAGTTAAAAATAAAGGCATGCATTAAGTATAACTAATACATGCATGTGGTGCCACTATCAAATAAAATTAAAGTTTCATGCCGTAAAAATGGTTTTAATATAAATATTAAAATATTTTTAATGTTTATATATTTTAAAGCAAAGCTTCTATGCTGGTGTTGTATTAATTTTTCTTTATTTATTTTAATAAAATGCAGAGCAGAACATCACGAAAGTAGGGACATTAAATAGTTGTAAAGGTCTATTTACAGATGGATGGATTACGTTAACACTTTCACTTGTCACCATAAGGAGGTTAGGGACTTTACAGGAAACAACCCCCATCAGCTCACTAGGTGCTCTATAGAGGACTTGGGTTAGTCAATCCAAAGTTGCCTTTGCGTTTTCATCTTGATTAGGCAGGATGATAAAATAAAACTCGGTTTTGAAGCCGCAAAAGGTCCTATCAACAGACTCTCAGGACAAGCAGGGAGCGGAGCCCCGTGAAGGGGGCCTCCAGGTTTATAAGATCCTACATGAGGACCGCAGTAAGGCTAGGCTTGACTAACTATGGCTTGGAAAATGCACCCTTTTTATACACTTTATTTCGTATCGATTTGTGCATTTCCAAGTCAGTCAGCCAATCATAAATTTTGTATGGGGTAGAAAGGCGGGGAGGTACGCATCGGAGTGCGTACTAGTCTTCAGACTATGGCACTCGATGGCAAACTGCCATGCGAAGCATAATGAGGTAATATGACTTTACAGCCGCGAGATAACACGCATAACAAATCATAAAAGCTGCAAGGAGCAGTTGTGACCTCTCATATCAATGTATCGTTAATACAGTTTAAAAGTAGACGACTGTAAGCAACATAAACTATATTTGGCCTCTATAATATGTGAACCAATTTTTGATTCTAACATCCTGAAAATGCTATTCCTGAAAGTGATACTCGAGTACGGTCCTGACTAAGATACAATATGCCACTTTTAAAGCCGTCAAAAAATAAAATTATTTTTTTCTTCTTCTCGCTCTTTTTAAGCAATTCTGCTTGTTAATTGGCGGATTAATACCTCTACGGAAGTTTGTCACTCCATCTTTTTCGCGGTCGTCCGATACTTCTGCTGATTGGTGACCTTCCTCTTGCTATTTTAAGGACACGGGTCTCCTCCATTCTGCTTTTTTAGTTATTCTATATATTCTTTAGTTATTCTATAGTTATTTATTTTCTTCTAACGTCTTCACTTCTCTTTCGAGTACTCTCATCTCCGCTGTTTCCAGAAGCATTTGTGTTATGGGTGTGTCGGGTCTTATTTCTGAGGCATATGTCATTATTGGTCTTAAACTGGCTTTATAAATTCTTAACTTCATCTAAGTGTTAATGTGTCTGTTTCGCAATATGGTGTTCCATTCAGGCATCCTGCTAGTCTATTTCCTTTTTGTACTTGATCTCTCACTTCTTTTTCCAGGTCTTCATAGCTAGACAGTGCAGTTTCTAGACATTTTATTTCCATTACTTGTTCAATACTGATCCCATCAATTTCTATTTTACATCTGGTTTGTTCTTTGCTGATTACTAAATCTGTAAACTATTCTGTATCCTCTTCTTTTGTTAACGGTTTTGATGATTTTATCCATGATCAAATTGAAGAGCATGGGACTCAATGAATCCCATTGTCTTATTCCGCTGTCCATTTCTATAGGTTCTGTAAGTTATCCAATTATTCTTACTTCCATTTTGTTATTTTGGTAGATTGTTTTTATAACATTTAGGGGAGCATCTCTATTATACAGAAGGTGGATTTCATCTTTGAGTATTACTCTGTCAAACGCTTTTTTTGTATTAATTATTCTTTAAAAACTATGGTCGACTCACTTCCCCACTCCTACCAGTTTGTAAATATAAAAGAGTCACAAATAGAAATAAAAAGATTGATTTCTCCAGCCGATAGACTCATAGCATCTAATGCATGCTCTAGAATTCCTAACAACATAAGCAGAACTACAAAAGATGGGTATTATTGCTGTGTCTAAGATAACTATCTTAAGAATAGGTATTCCTGAAAAGAATACAGCAATGTTCTCAGTTTTAGAAGGCAAATATTTATCACTCCCCTAGAAAATTGGTCTATCTCCGATTCTTTTAACATATCACATAACACACCCTGTATCACCTATACCCTTCCATAGATGGATATACTTTATGTATGATGGATATACTTTATGTACATGCTAAAAAATGCTCTGACAATAGGAAAATTAGTCTTATGAATCACGTTTAAAAATTTTTTCTTCGGATAATTCCCTTCAGAATTTATACTAAAATTAAAGGAGAAATTAGTGATACGCAATTTAAATTCCGCAAAAATTTTAGCACAAGACAAGCATTAGTCAGCGAACAAGTACTTATTAAGAGGTGAAGAGATGTTAATAATCATGTGTATATGTACCTACACAGCACACTTTAAGAAAGCATTCGATAAAGTTATACATGAAAAACTGATAAAAATTCTTAGATGAGCAGGAATAGAAGACAAAGACTAATACTATTCATAATCTCTACTATTACCAAACAAATCTCATAATTGGCTAGATACTTCTTAATTAATTGAAAATCTCCATAAAGTTAGATACCAATACATCTCGTCAATGGAATTAAGATTAGTGATCTGAGTTATGTGGGCAATACTGTTTTGCTTAACAGTTCTGCAAAAGTATTAGTACAATTATTAATTAACAGTGGTTCTAAAGAATGCAAAGAATACATATAGCTTAATATTTTAAAAACTACTTCTACGCATCAACTGGATTAAGAAAGTGACCAATATAGAGGTATTACAACGTTTAAAAAGATCCCAAGTGGAGAAAACCATAAAAATACGAAAGTTTTACTATGCTATATGACACACGATATTTATCCGTTTACGATATATATCCATCTAATTATTTACGGCAAAATATATTTAAAAAGGGGTCCCAGTCGAAGAAGAACATCATGGCGTAACTTGCGTGAGTGGTCTGGCCAATCTTCGTCGTCCATTTTCAAAAGCTGTGGTATTAGCCAATATGATAACCAACGTTTAGTAATGGACAAGGTACGGAGAGGAAAAGAAGGTAGACAACTTACCACTACCAGGATTCCAACACAAATTTGGTGTAAAGAAAAAGAATAGCTCAGTAAGCTCGCAAAACTCTTCTTTTGAAGTAATAGGTTGTTTTTCGAACCGCTTTTTTAATTCTCTTAGAATGCAAATCATATCTTTAAAGCACCAGTCATTAACTCCTGTTGGGATAGGTGTAAAATATTTATCGGCGTAGTCAATTTGTCCTGAACAATGCCTATTCCGCGGACCCAAACAACCATGACTGTATGGCTGCACCTACAACCAACAAAACAGATAAGTGCTGGTATAAATACCGTGAGTAACAATACGATAATAAAAAAAAATAATTTGATATAAGGTTGAATGCTCGAATAAATGAACTTTAATCAAATAAAAAGTAGATATCGAGCACAGTTTATTTATTAAATCTTGCCCTAGTACTTTCGCTTCCAGAGTATCTTCAGGGGCATCTGAAATAAGCCAAGAAACGTTTATTCAACGGAAGAAAATTGATTAAATTCTAAATTCTAAAACTCGAAGTTGATGGTTGATAAATTTTTTTTATGTAATATAACGTTTTAGACTTACTTCGTAAAATTTTGCCTATCCAACAATCTACTGAGAATGTCATAAACATAATAATTATACAATTAAAACTACATGACATAAGGACAAACAGTTTAAAATTTAAAAAACGGCGAAGCTACATATTGGTTGGCATCAGGAGAGAGAATGGCTCCTAATCTTAATAGAAATATTAAGAACAGGATCCCGCAGTGGGATCTTAAGCTAAAACAAATCTTGCAATTTTAGGAAACTATCTTTAAACAATCAGGAAACTATCTTTTACTCACCTAACGGACGACACCGAAATCAGATCGATTACAAGAGGATATCAAAAATAAAAGATACACAACAATTTAAAATCCAATGTAATGAAAGATGTAAATATTTTACCAACTATCGTCACTCATGATTCCGAAAAGATTTTGTTATCTTTTAAAAATACCTTGATACAGACCTTGACTGACTGCGAGGCACAGTCTAATGCCGTCTCAACCGGACCAAAAAAAGTGTGGATGTCTGCAGATAATTTTGACCTCGTTGAAGAACGTAGACAACTTAAAATTGCTGGAATCGAGAACCCTCTCAGGAATTTCCAGTACCGACAGCTATCTAGAGCTATTCAGGCTGCTTGTAGACGAGACAAAAACAAGCATATAGAGAAAATCTACAGAGAAATTTAACTACACGCCGACACAAATAACACCAAAGAACTCTTTGATAAAGTCAGACAACTCACACGTAAATTCAAGCAGAAATCTTGGTCTATCAAAGATGATGAAGGTAATGTACAGACGGATTTGGACAAGGTTATTGATGTTTGGAGGGCATATTGTAAGACTTTATACGCCAATACGGACCAGATGCCAGCGGACGCCCCGTTTGTACCTATTGCCAGACCTCCACTTTCATTCTCCTTCAACAGAGACACACCACACTAGTTTTGAGTCTAAACCTGACATACTTTTTTCCGAGGTGGAATTCGCTTTAAAAAGACTTAAGTTAAACAAAGCAGCAGGATATGATCTCATTACTGCAGACGTCTTGAAGCATCTTCCGGAATGTGAAGTGAAAATATTACATCGATTGTGCAATGAAATATGGCACACAGGCGTCTGGCGTGAGGATTGGAGAAAGACCATAATCATACCTCTTCATAAGAAAGGTTTAACAAATAATTGTAACAACTACAGGCTATTAGCTCTAATATCACACGCTAGTAAGGTGATCCTCTACATACTGCAACGGCGTCTAGAAAACTTCATAAGTTAGCAAATAGCACCTGATCAGGCTGGATTTGTAAAGGGCAGAGGTACTAGAGAACAAATCCTTAATGTACGAAACATCATAGAAAAAGCCAGAGAATACCAGATCCCGATATTTATATGTTTCGTCGATTATACAAAGGCCTTTAATAATGTTAGATGGGACAAACTATGAAACATATTGACGACAATGGGTGTACCTAAACACTTGACTCACCTTATTAGCAAACTGTATCAAGATAACCTGGCATATATTCGAATGGACGGATATCTGTCTGACAAATGCACTTTGGAGAAGGGAGTACGCCAAGGATGCGTTTTATCTCCCTTATTATTTAACATCTATTCGGAGTTCATAATGCGCAGAGTTTTGGATGGTTGGGAGGGAGGAGTAAACCTAGGTGGTGTTAAGATATCTAACTTGCGTTTCGCAGACGACACTACACTTCTAGCCTCTACTCCAGAAGAAATTATTAAATTATTAAAAAAACTCGAGGTAGAAAGTGCTAAATTTGGACTCATGGTTAACTACAACAAAACCAAAATCATGGTTATTGATCGCCAACAACAGTTTCCTGAAACCCAAACTATTGCGGGATGCGAGGTAGTCTCATCTATGATATATCTTGGAGCTCTAGTTAACAACACAGGCAGTTGTGAATCAGAAAATAAGAGAACGCATTCAACTAGCAAGAGCAGCAATGAGTGAACTAAACGGGGTCTGGCGTGATCGTCACATTACTATGACAAACAAAAAGAGACTCGTTTCAACTCTGGTCTTTTCCATATTTTACTATGCATGCGAGACATGGACAGTCAAAGAATCAGATCGACGACGTATAGACGCCTTTGAAATGTGGACATGGAGACGCCTGCTTCGAATTCCATGGACGGCTCCCCGTACAAATATCTCGGTTCTGGATGAAATTAAACCGGATCAGCGTCTCTCCAGTACCGTTTACTCTGGAATTTTAAAGTTCTTTGGCCATATCCATCGAAGTGATCACAAAATGGAGCGGTTGGTGGTCCAAGGAAGGCCTCAGACTCAACGCCAACGCGGAAGATCTCCACAGCGATGGGCGGACATTACTAAAAAGCTTCTCAATAAACAGTATACTGAGGCAATACATATAACTGATGACCGCGAGCAGTGGAGAAATATTATCAATCAAACTGTCCGAGCTGCTGAAGCCCAATTATGAACCACAACACATCTACTAAGATGTTAATGACTGTGATGATGATCTTTAACAAAGCACTCGACTTAAAATAAATATTATTTAAACGAAATGTCAAAATAAATCATTATGTTGAAATAGTTGTGTCACTTAATAAATACATTATAGCCCATTCTGGTTATACAAAAATCATCGATTTCACGGCAAAAACTTTTCGCAGATATCTGAAGCTTTTAAGACATAGGCGGGGGTTTATAGATAACGAATTGATGAAAAAGTACTCGTATTTTTACCTTGCGTTTTTTTTTAAACAATAATTTATGGTCACAATTTGATTTTTTGTCTATAAGTGTTTTCCCTGATATTTTACATAAACAATATTTTTATCATTTTTTTATATCAAGAATATCTTTATTTTCCCGTTTTTTAAATTTAAATTGAAAAATAATTTACGAAAATATTTGCAAAAAAGCAGTTTTTTGCAATAATTTATAAATTTTATTAATGTTTTTACCGTCTTCTAAATTTGTGCGAAATTTTTTTCCAATCTCGTGTTATATTTTAAGTAGTTTCTTCAGTTTTGCACTATAAGTAGTTATGAATATAGAGAATGCAGTAGCAAGTGGTAGTGGAGTACAGCAGGCGCCTGAGCGTAAAGTTAAAAAAACACCAAAGGCCAGATTAATAAAAATAGCCAAAGTAAAAGGCGAGAAGCATATTAATCATAAAGGAAGACTAGTAGAAAACCGCGCTCTTGGAAGAAACTGCAGGTAAATAATAGCTTTAACCTTTTATAGGGCAGAATTATTTTTTGGTAATATAAACAAATTCTTTGCAGATTATAGATAAGGAATGATCCGTTATTGAACTTTCATTCGTATTTTCATTTTATTTTCACTCCTTGTTGTTTTTTTTAGGTGGTTGAAATTTCGACCACAGCCTGATTAGGTATGTTGACTTTGGTAAATGTAGTTGTGGTTCCATAATCGACCACAGAAAAAAACACACTAATTAAACATTTTTATTAGGAAATAATGGAAAACATTGAATACATAATGCAACCTGGCAATCTGAGCATTTAATACTTGAACGTTTTGGCTTTGCTCTCGTTGAACAGAGTGCACAACGTCTTGATGTTCCTTTTTCTGGCATGTGATTGCCAACATCGCTTAGTCTCACCGTGCTTTCTACGCTAACATAATTAGTGGTTGCTCCCATTTTCTTCAGTTTATTTCTTCCTATTGTTACCTTAGGTCCTGGTCTCTTTCTGTTATAGAAATCACCTATGAGCTCGTTGGCCAATACACAGCTAAAATACAGGTGACTCATTGGTTTCGATTTAATGGACCTCATTTTTATTGTAGTTTTATAAGTTTGAATTTACCACTGCTACATCAATCAAATAGTAAATAATCTTCATATACCATCTTCGGATTTCCATGAAATTGGATAAGAAGCATGAAGTTGATAGAATAGATCGACTCCACCCATATAGCGATTGTAATCACTTATGGCTTTTGGACACTTAACACTTTCTTGTTCACCATTCGGTTTTCTTCGCAAAACTGAAGTAATGTCAAGTGGATTATGCATAGTACTGCCGACTAAAACGCATTTGTGCCCCGGATGTTTCCATTTAACAACAGACATATCATTGGACATGAAATAATCGTGTTCTCCCATTTTCATTGTTTTGTCCTTTCTCATTTGTGTTGGAAAGCCTTTACGATTTATTCTAAAAGTTCCACAGCAGAACAAATCATAGGTTAACATTTTCTTAAGAAGAGGAAAACTCGAGAAAAAATTATCGAAATAAATGAAGTAGTTTGCGCCTCTAAGAGACTCGGTAATGTCTAATACCGTTTTAGCGCCTAAACCATATTGAGCATGTGATTGAGATTTGCCTTCATATATGCTAAATTTGTGCACGTATCCAGTTTCGGAGCATGCAACGACCCAAACTTTAAAGCCTCTTTTTATGGGCTTTTTCGGGATATATTGCTTGGGAGAACTTCGCCCCTTGAAAACAACCATACTTTCATCTACCGCAACATTTCTACTTGTATAAAAGTTCTCTTGAAAGCGTTGCTGCAGTTCTGTTATCAAAGGCCTTACTTTGAACAGTTTGCCAAATTTGGGATTATTTTGATTTCTTCCCATGTTGTCGTTATTGTTTAGATGGAGAAAACGAAGAATTTTTAAGAATCGTTTTTGCGTAAAAATTTGCGAAACTCATGGCACGTGCATGTTAATATCAGTTGACCAATAA